CAGGGACAAAAGCTGGATTCACTGTGTCGAAGGCAGTTGTGCTGGTGAGATAAGCAGGGTCTGATTTTCAAATTGCTCTTCTCTCACACAGGTATTACTTCAGATGGACACAGTGAAATGAAATTCAAAATATTTCTCAAGATGCAAACTGTAAATATATAGTATATATAGTGTGTATATTTTATACATAGTATGTATATGGTTGGCATGTATGTATATAGCATGTATAGTGTGTATATTTTATACACCGTATGTATATTGTTGGTATGTAGTATGTATATAGTATGTATAGTGTGTATATTTTATATTAGGGGGCCTCCAGCCAAAGATAAAATACTGGAAGGGAGAAGAGTGGGAGGTGAAGGGAAAAAGGAAAGAGCCAGTGCTCCCCCTAGTGGGGAACTGTGGAGAAGCACACAGATTCTTGGTGCTCTTGGTACTCAAAAACTGCAGGATGTTCTCTGCTTGCTATTTTTTTTTTATTTTTTAGACAGAGTCTTGCACTGTCACCCAGGCGGGAGTGCCGTGGCATGTGATCTTATCTCACTGTAACCTCTGCCTCTTGGGTTCAAGTGATTCTCCTGCCTCAGCCTTCTAAGTAGCTGGTATTAGAGGCGTGTGCCACCATGCCCAGCTAATTTTTGTATTTTTAGTAGAGATGGGGTTCCACCCTATTGGCCAGGCTGGTCTTGAACTCCCAACCTCAAGTGATCCATCTGCCTCGGCCTCCCAAAGTGCTGGGATCACAGGTGTGAGCCACCGTGCCAGCCTCTGCTTGCTAATGTCTAATTGCTGACCAGAACACTCCAAATGTCTCACCATAGAACGAATTAGATCTCCAACACAAACAAGCGACAAGAAGAATTACTCTTCCTCCATTCAGGAGAAAGTTGACTTGTAGGACCATGTTTTAATAAATATCTAACAGTAATTAACTAAGAAAGTACTCTAAATATAACAGAGGTATTTTTAAATGGCAAGAGAACAAAATACCTGGTGTATCTCAGCTTAGGTCATTACATATTAAGAATTTTGATCTATATGGTGACAGGATTTTTTTCACGTTCATCTCACCGCATGTTGGAGGGGAGAATATCTCCAGAACTCCACAGTCTTTTGAAATGATTGTTGACTGAAATTCTACCTATTTGTAAAGTGCTCCAACAGCTTGCTGACAATCATAGGTATCTTACATTCTGGCATCAGTTTCAAGACATGAACTCCTTCAGCTATTGAAATTACAGTGAACAAAAATGGATTGAATATCATAAGTGACTGACAAGGCTTTCACAAGTGCAGACAAAGGTTCAGATTCAAAGCCTGGTAAAACGGTTTGGCTGTGTCCCCACCCAGATCCCGTCTTTAATTCCCACATGTTTCGGGAGGGACTTAGTGGAAGGTAAATGAAGCATGGGGGCAGATCTTTTCCATGCTGTTCTCGCGATAGTGAATGAGTCTTACGAGATTTGATGGTTTTATAAGGGCGAGTTTCCCTGCACAAGCTCTCTTGTCTGCCGCCATGTGAGACATCTCTTTCACCTGCCATGACTATGAGGCCTCCCCAGCCACGTGAAACTGTAAGTCCAATAAACCTCTTTCTTTTATAAATTGCCCAGTCTCAGGTATGTTTTTATCAGCAGCATGAAAATAAAGTAAATAGATACCAGGAGTGGGTGCTGCTGAAAAGAAGCCTGAAAATGTGAATAACTTTGGAACTGGGTAACAGGCAGGGATTTAAACAGTTTAGAAGGCTCAGAAGAAGACAGGAAAATGTGGGAGAGTTTGGGACTCCCAGACACTTGTTGAATGGCTTTGACCAAAATGCTGATAATGATACAGACAATGGAATCCAGGCCGAGGTGGTCTCAGATGGAGATGAGGAACTTGCTGGGAACTGGACTTGTTATGTTTTAGCAAAGAGACTGGTGGCATTTTGCCCCCGCCCTAGAGATTTATGGAGCTTTGAACTTAAGAGAGATGATTTAGGGTATTTGGCAGAAGAAATTTCTAAGCAGCAAAGCACTGAAGAAGTGACTTGGGTGCTGTTAAAGGCATTCAGTTTTTTGGTTGGTTTATTTAGAGACAGGGTCTCACTCTGTCACCCAGGCTGAAGTGCAGTGGTGTGAACTCAGCTCACTGCAACCTCAGCCTCCCAGGTTCAAGCAATTCTCCTGCCTCAGCATCCGAAGTAGCTGGGATTACAGGCCTGTGACACCACATCCAGCTAATTTTTGTATTTTTACTAGAGACGGGGTTTCACCATGTTGGCCAGGCTAGTCTCAAGCTCCAGGCCTCAGGTGATCTGCCTCGGCCTCCCCAAGTGCTGGGATTACAGGTGTGAGCCACCACACCAGGCCAGCATTCAGTTTTGAAAGGGAAACAGAGTATAAAAGTTTGGGAAATTGGCAGCCTGACAATGTGATAGAAAAGAAAATCCCGTTTTCTGAGGAGAAATTCAGGCTGGCTGCAGAAATTTGCATGAGAGGAGCTGCATATTAATCACCAAGACAATGGGGAAAATGTCTCCAGGGCATGTCAGAGACTTTTGTGGCAGCCCCTCCCATCACAGGCCTTCAGGTTTAAGAGGAAAAAATGGTTTCATGGGCTGGGGCCAGGGTCCCTATGCTGTATGCAGTTTAGAGACTTGGTACCCTGCATCTGCTGCTCCAGCAGTGACTAAAAGGGGCTGAGGCAAGGCACAGCTTGGGCTGTTGCTTCAGATGGTGGAAGCCCCAAGCCTTGGCAGCTTTCATGTGGTACTGAGCCTGCGGGTGCACAGAAGTCAAGAATTGAGGTTTGGGAACCTCTGTCTAGATTTCAGAGGATGTATAGAAATGCCTGGATGCCCAGGCAGAAGTTTGCTGCAGGGGTGAGGCCCTCATGGAGAACCTCTGCTAGGGCAGTGCAGAAGGGAAATGTGGGGTGGGAGCCCCAATAGACTCTCTACTGGGTCACCACCTAGTGGAGCTGTGAAAAGAGGTCCACCATCCTCTAGACTCGTAGATCCACTGACAGCTTGCACTGTGCACCTGGAAAAGCCACACTCAACACCAGCTAGTGGAAGCAGCCAGGAGGGGCGCTGCAAAGAAGTCCATGGGATGTGAGACATGGAATCAAAGGAGATCATTTTGGAGATTTAAAATCTGACTGCCCGCTAGATTTTGGCCCCTTTGTTTTAGCCAATTTCTCCTATTTGGAATGGCTGCATTTACCCAATGCCTGTATCCCCATTGCATCTAGGAAGTAACTAACTTGATTTTGATTTTACAGGCTCATAGGCAGAAGAGACTTGCCTTGTCTTGGATGAAACTTTGGACTCTGGACTTTTGAGTTAGTAAGGTTTTAGGGGGACTGTTGGGAAAGCATAACTGGTTTTGAAATGTGAGGACATGAGATTTGGGAGAGGCCAGGGTGGAATGATATGGTTTGAATGTGTCCCACCCAAATCTCATCTTGAATTCTCACATGTTGTGGGAGGGACTTGGTGGGAGGTAATTGAATCAGGGGGGCAGGTCTTTCCCATGCCGTTCTCATGGCAGTGAATAAGTCTCATGAGATCTGATGGTTTTATAAGGGGCAGTTTCTCTGCACAAACTCTCATCTGCTGCCATTTGAAATGTGAGACACCTTCATCTTTCACCATGATTATGAGGCCTCCCCAGCCATGTAGAACTGTAAGTGCAATAAGCTTCTTTCTCTGGTAAATTTCCCAAAGACATATGTTCTCAGGTATGTCTTTATCAGCACCATGAAAACTGACTAATACACCTGGTTACTTAGTGACCTGATGGGTAAGGGCACTACACTCTCCTCTCCGTCTCTGCTTCAGGCTCATCTTCTTAAGGATACAGTGAAGGCTCCCATGGGCATCTGCAGGAGGTCTCAGGGGTCTCCCACAGGCCTTTGATGACCCAGGCAACTGCATTCCCGGTCTACCTCTTCTCCTGGGAAGGTGCTTTTGTTCTAAACATAAGCCTTACAAAAAGCAGTCATAAAATCCTGTCAACAATCACCATTTAGCAAATGATCTTCCTCTCTGCTTCAAACACACAGGCAGGCCCACTGACTACAGTGTACACTCTTTCTGTAGCACTTTCTGGTCACGGGAATGTGGCTGTGCCATAATCTTCTTCTGTGCCTCTTCTCTTGTTCATCAGAGGATCTCTGGTGATCAGCATAGATTCTGCTTGATACGTTCTGCATAAAAGTTTACAAGACAAAATTGTCCCTCTGAGGCCAGGCACAGTGGCTCACATCTGTAATCCAAGCACTTTGGGAGGCTGAGACAGGTGAATCATCTGAGGTCAGGAGTCTGAGAGCAGCCTGGTCAACATGATGAAACCCCGTCTACTAAAAATACAAAAAATTAGCCAGTCATGGGAAAGAACAAGGGTTGGGGAAAAAAAGAAAAAAAAAAATTAGTCAGGCACGGTGGCAGATACCTGTAATCTGAGCTCCTCAGGAGTCTGAGGCAGGAGAATCACTTGAACCCAGGAGGTGGAGGTTGCAGTCAGCCAAGATCATGTCATTGCACTCCAGCCTGGGCAACAAAAGCAAAACTCTGACAAAAAAAAAAAAATTGTCCCTGTGATATGGTTTGGCTGTGTTCCCACCCAAATCTCACCTTGAATTGTATAGCTCCCATCATTCCCATGTGTTGTGGGAGGTAACTGCATCATGGGGGTGAGTCTTTCCTGTGCTGTTCTCGTGATACTGAAGAATGAGATCTGATTGCTTTATAAAGGCGAGTTCCCCTACACATGCTCTCTTGCCTGCCGCCATGTAAGACATCCCTGTGCTCTTCCGTCTTCCGCCATGATTGTGAGTCTCTACAGCCACGTGGAACTGTGAGTCCATTAAGCCTTTTTTCCTTTATAAATTACACAGTCTTGAGTATGTCTTTATTAGCAGTGTGAGAACAGACGAATACACCTTCTCTCCTTTTCCTTTCTCTATATGTTCCATGAGAGTATAAGCTAAAATAAGTAGGATACCTCATCTGAGAACCTTGGCACTGTTTCTTTTTATTATAGCTAGACACAAAATGCCCAAAGATATACAAAACAAACCATACAAATTTTAAACACTCTCACAAAGGTGAAAATACACAGAAATGAAGACTATGGATTGATGTTTGCAAATGTTAATTTACTTTGAATCCTGTCTGGTGTTAAAACCTAACAGTTTATCAGAATTTATATTTGATATAACTATTTTTAAAATTATAGTGGACAAAACTGATGAAATTCTAATCTTCAATAGCCTATGATGAATAACTATTATAGTTAAATTAATGCAATCTTCAACTATTCTCCTAAGTACTCTTGCTATAATTTTCTGTTTATTAAAACTTTTTATTTTAGGGAACAAAACTGACCTTACTGCTATCTTAGGAAAAAGAAACAACAAACTTTCATTAAATATTCAACCTCAACTTTTAAAGCTTAAAAGTTCTTTATTTCTGCTAACCTGAAACTACTTTTGGTTCACTGCTTTTAAAACATCTTAATTAATGTGATTTAAGGTCATTTTGTCTGCAGAGTGCTCATATTTTTCATCTTTATACCAAAGCAGTAAGGCAAAAAAGCAGTTCCTTTTCCAAATCCAAGAGAAAATATTCATCCATTTTAAAGGTGAGGAATGAGAACTGCTGCAAATGATCCTACCAATAGGAAGTTAAGGCTGCTGTGATTTTCCTTTATATTTAAACCATAAATTTAAGATTAGCAGTGCTACTGCCTGTGAACACGGAATTTATAACCTTTGGGCTTGAATCATAGGACATAAATATTGCTGTTTCTGTTTATGCTTCTGAGACACTGTTTTCACAACCACCTTTGATACGTTTTAAGATGAAGTCAGAAAACAGCACACAGTGCTCGAAGCGCATGACTCTGCTACAAGAAGATACATGCCAGAGGTGTTAAGAGCAGATTCTAGTGTTGGTGAGCATTGGCACAGTCTGCCCCAGCCTGGCACACAGATGCACAGGACACACACCACTAGCATGGCACGTAGTTGGGGAACAGGGGCTAAGGCCTTTCGATGCTCCAAAGTGTCTGACCCTCTACTGCCAAAAGCAAGATTTGCAGTTTTGCAAGAACCTCCGGGCACCAGTTGGAGTATATCCTGTTCACTGCAACGTTCTTCTTTGAAGCAAGTCCTTCCTACAAAAGATTTCCCCAAATCATTTCCTAGCATGAATGTGAACCAGCTTCACAGTATGTATCTACCGGTATTAGCACCATAGTTTGGCCTGCCTGAGGTAACGGTAAACTCTCAGCTTTGGGTAGAAATTACAGCAGCAGTCTTAAGCGGGGTGTGCACAGCGGCATTCTTTCTGATCATTAGGTTGTATGAGAAACCGTCTGAATCCATATATCCAAATACACACTGAAGCTGATCAAATACAGAGCTAGGCTAGCAGGAGAAATACAGCAAAACAACCCTCATTTTTAAATTCAAATTGTGTCATTACTGGGATGATGAAGTCACAGATTTTGATAACTATACTGACCCAGTAGCACAAAGCTGGCGCTGTCAACCGTCAACACCCAGAATTTCATTTTTCAGAGCACGGTCAAGTCTACTGCAGGTGCTACCCAGTCGACATCCAGAACGTGCATTTAACCAGGTCTCTTTGTCCTCTGCTTAGTACACATTCTGTTTAATAAAGAGGTGAGTAGCCCTTCCCCAACTATTTTGATTTGTGTAGGAAAACCTCTCTGGAATTCGTACTTAGCATTTTTATAAAGGACGCAGTGGAAAAGATGTTAAAACTCTGTAAAAAACTGAAAAGGAAACAATCTGTTTCAACAGATGAAAACGTAGTTAAGAGATAACTGGACAGAAAGAGGTGATTCTCTAATTTAGTTCCTAGATGCTGATAAGGTGAAACAATCATGTTAAAACAATGAAAAATTTTCAAATTGCTTTTCTTCTCCCTTTAAAATTCCTTAACGTATAAAAGAAATAAGAAAGCTTAGATATAGCTAGCTTTTTAGAGCAATATAAAACTAATTTTTCAAAGGAGAATAATTACCATTATTTATCAAATAAAATATAATTTTGGAGTCTGAAAAGCAATGGAATCCAACCAGTCTCCAGTTGGAGCTGACCTCTGCACTTAAGCAGACGCACCAGGCCAGTGCTTACTGCTCAGGTAAAAATTTATCACGCAGTTTGACTAAGAGTCTGCAAAAATGCTTCGCACTAGTATTTCCATCTGACTCTGTCGAGATTCAGGAAATAGGAGTAACTTCCCCCTGCAGCCTATAGAAACATTTGAGGGAAATAGGTTAAGATTTGTACTTAACTTAAAAATTCAGCTGAATACTGAAGACCATTCTTCAGAAAACACAAGTCAACAGTCATTCTTTTAGACATCTTCTGGCGCTAACTGCACCTAACTGGTAAGATACATGGAGGTGCAGCTTAGCTGTGTCTGCCAGGATGCTGATCACTATATGAGGTCTTCCAGTTCCCTGTCGGTCAGTTCATTCACTTCCATGATCTTCTCTAGGTGCTCCATGTACCGGCCGTGGTCCTGGAGGAAGTGAGGGACCCTCATGTTTTCAGTAACTGCCAATCCTTTTAAGCGATCCACATCTTCATAAGAAACCTGGAAAAAGGAAGATGCGTTAATTTAAAAATGTAACTACAATGTACATTGTAAGGGCCTTAAAGTATTCAGCTCATTTGTCAAACTATCTTAATAGCTGAAAAACAACAAAAATCAGTGCCTTACCTTTTCTTCACTGTGTTAAAGAATAATGTATTTCTCAGCCCCTTAAACCATGATCATATTAAAAGAGTATTATTATTAGTATTACTAATATTTTTCCGGCGACGGAGTTTGGCTCTTGTTGCTCAGGCTGGAGTGCAATGGCCTCATCTTGGCTCACTGCAACCTCCGCCTCCTGGGTTCAGGCGATTCTCCTGCCTCAGCCTTCTGAATAGCTGGTATGACAGGTGCTCGCCACCACACCCGGCTAATTTCTTTGTATTTCTATTTTTTAATTTTATTTATTTATTTAGAGACTGAGTTTCACTGTTGTTGCCCAGGCTGGAGTGCAATGGCATGATCTCAGCTCACTGCAACCTCCGCCTCCCGGGTTCAAGCAATTCTTTTGCCTCAGCCTCCCAAATACCTGGGCTTACAAGCATGAGCCACCATACCCGGCTAATTTTGTATTTTTAGCAGAGATGGGGTTTCTCCATGTAGATCAGGCTGGTCTTGAACTCCTGACCTCAGGCGATCCACCCCCCTTGGCCTCCCAAAGTGATGGGATTACAGGCATGAGCCACTGCGCCTGGCCATTTTTCGTATTTTTAGTAGAAACAGCATTTCATCACGTTAACCAGGCTGGTCTTGAACTTCTGATCTCAGGTGATCCACCTGCCTTGGGCTCCAAAAGTGCTGGTATTACAGGCGTAAGCCACTGCGCCCAGCCTAAAAGATGATTTTAAAAAGCCAAATTTAATCGAATACTCTACCTTGGACCTACTCAGTTTGTCTAAAAATTAGACAACTATACTTAATAAATTTGTGTGTGAGCCAGACTCTAAAACCAAACAAGTCTTCTGGCTAAATCAAAATAAAAGAATCAAGAAAATGACCAGATTGTAAATGGCATATTATTAAATTAGAAAAATTAGCACAATTATATAGGGTAAGCATCCAAATTCAAAAATGCAAAATCTGAAATGCTCCAAACTTTTGGAGAACCCACATGATGCTCACAGAAGATACTCATTGGAGCTTCTGGAATTTCCAATTTGGAGATTTGGGATGCTCAACCAGTAAAGAATGTAAATATTCCAAAATTCAAAAAATCCAAAATCCAAAATACTTCTAGTCCCAAGCATTTTAGAGAAGAGATACTCAGTCTGTATATCAGATTCCTATTTCTCTTTGATTTAGGATACATACTGATTTGTGATGTGAATCACATTTTCTTGCTTTTATTTTGAATTTCTGTAGAAAATGCTCACATCTTTTTCATTCTATATAAGAAGCCAGGCTTTCATAGGTACTTATATTAGGTTTAAGAATGAAACTTTTAAAGTTCTATAAATTAATTTTTAAACTTTTTTAAAGAGATAGGGTCTTGCTCTGTTACCCTAGAAGGAATGCAGTGGTACAGTCACGGCTCACTGTGGCCTTGCACTCCTGCCCTCAAGCGATCCTTTCCACTTAGCCTCCCTATGGGCATGTGCCACTATGCCTGGCTAATTTGTTTTTGTTTTTATACAGATGGGAGGTTTCACTATGTTATCCAGGCTGGTTTTGAACTCCTAGTCTCAAGTGATCCTCTCGCCTCCACCTCCCAAAGTGCTGTGATTACAGGTGTGAGGCACCATGCCCGGCCTTAAATTATCTTTAAATTCTAAAACATAGTTGGCTTTAAGTACTATGGTCTTCTGATCAGTACTCTTCCCGGCTCAGTAGGAAAGCTTTAAGAAAAGCTCCTGGCTGGGTGCAGTGGCTCACACATGTAGTCCCCGCACTGTGGGAGGCCATGGTAGAAGGATCACTTGAGGTCAGGAGTTCAAGGATAGCCTGGCCAATGTGGTGAAACCCTGTCTCAACTAAAAATACAAAAATTAGCTGGGTGTGGTGACAGGTGCCCATAATCCCAGCTACTTGAACTGGGAGGTGGGAGGTTGCAGTGAGCCGAGATGAGGCCACTGCACTCCAGCCTGGGCGACGAAGGAAGACTCCGCCTAAAAAATAAATGTTCATACTATATCTATATTTTATTAAGGTTTTTAAAGTTTTTACCATTAACATTATTTATTTTGTTTGGTATTTATAGCACTAAATGTAATCAAAGTAGGTTTGTCGATACTGGTATGGGTTAGTAATTCTTAAATTATTCTCAGTTTGTTATAGGAAAGAGTAAATACACTGACATTGGGAAACAAGGTTCTCATTTTAAGAGATGGTAGATACAAATACAGAATGGGAGAGGAGGTATAAGAATCTTGTAGGGTCTGATGTGGATTGCAGTGCCCTTATGATTTAAAATAGATACGATTTGCTCACTGAAAAGGTCTAGAAGCAAGAGTACTCCAACAGCAAGGGACACACCAAGAACTCAGCTCCTGTTTTAAAAAATACCAATTAAAAGGAAACAAGACTGCATTAGAGAAATGGCTGATCTTAGATTTGGGTAGGAAAAGTAGAAGCTGTGCCCAGACATTTTTCTATGCCAGAAAACCTGGAGACATATTTAAGACACAGGAGCAGCCATGAAAAAGTTGAATTAAAAAGTAATTCTAATTAAGTCCATAATCATACTATAAAAATGGGGAGTGACAAAGAAATATAAAAGAATTAAAGACCTCTATTTTGTTACTGCAAGTATAATAACTGATTTGGGAAAAGATCAAGGGTTGTTAGGGAATAGCCTGTTCACAGATATCATCCCAAAGACTACTTATTAATAAATACAATGGGGGAAAGGTACGTTTATAATGGGGAGATCTGGGTCACTAACTTCACCCAGGCGATCAGACACAGCAGGCAATCAAACAGCCTCGTGATTAAATGGAGCAAAATGACACGCACCTTCTCTCTGGTGATGCAATGGGAAATACACATCACTTACGCAGTATTCTTGGCAAAAATGTTTAACCTGAATCTCATCAGAAGGAAACGATCTGATAATCCATATTGTAGGAATTTTCAAGAAAACTGTACCAATCTTTTTTTTTTTTTTTGAGACAGGGTCTGTCTCTGCCTCCCAGCCTGGAGGGCAGTGGTACGATCATGGCTCACTGCAGCCTTGACCTCCTAGGCTCAAGTGATCTTCCCACCTCAGCCTCCCGAGTAGTTGGGACTAAGGCGCGTGCCACCTTGTCCGGCTAATTTTTTATATTTTATATAGAGACAGGGTTTCCCCATGTTGCCCAGGCTGCTCTCAAACTCCTGGCCTCAAGTGATCCTCCTGCCTCAGCTTCCTATTTCGGCCTCCCAAAGTGATGGGATTATGAGCATGAGCCACCTCGCTCAGCCCAAGTCTTAAAAATATCATGAAAGTAAAGCAAGATGAGGCAAGGGGAGATGATTACAGATGAAAAGAGATGGAAGATTATAACCAAATGTAATACCTAAATCTTGATTGGATCTTGGATCACCAAAGAAGAGCTACAAACGACATTTGGGAGGCACTTTGGAAAAACTGAAGTGGACTGGATTTTAGATGTTATATTTAATCAGTAATAAATATGTTAAACAAAATCATATGGTCATGTCAGAAAATATCCTTTTCTTATGAGACATTATGGGGGGAAGTGTGATAGCTGCAGCTTTCCTCAAAATGCTTTTATAGCTTTCAGAAAATGCTTTTAAAAAATATGTATATACAAATAAAAATAAAACAATATATATTCTCAAGTTCCTATTCTTTATCTCTTATTAATCAAAAAGAAATTTTACCATTTGGTTCTATTGCAGAACCAGATTTCTTCCCTCTTGTTATGAAATAAAGAAAATTTATTCCAACAATAAAGTAAAAATAGTGTGAATCTGAGTCTTACTGAATCCTAGGCTCAAGTGAGGGAAGTTCTAATCTGGTGTGTTTGGGGACTGTGCGCCGTGGCTTCTACTCACCTTCCCGAGGGCAGTGAGCAGATAGAAGTCTATGGTCTCTCTGTATCGCAGGATTTGAAGGATTCCATCCAAGTACACCTGGTCTTTACTAAAACACCCTGGAGGAGCCAGAATAGTGTTTACTTTCTGATGTTTAAAAAAATTACTAAGTATTAGATATCAACCCGTTCCATTTACTGTAGAAATCAGTCCTGTATTAAAAATATTCCAGTTTGCCAACATTTATTTTTATTTAACTATCTTTATTACATAAAATATCAAGTCTTGGAAAGTGCCAGGATAGTATGCAGACTAAAAACAAGAATTCCTTCTCCTCACACATCCTCCCCATTATTAAAATAACAGTCCTTTCCTAATTATAAATAGAGACTGGTAACTTTCAATATTTGACTCTCAAAAATACAATTATCTCATTTTCCCCTACTCTCACCATTCAGTCATAACTCTCATTCTGCACTGAAGGCATCTGAGTGGGGAGGCCTGAGCGGGATAGTTTCAGAGCAGGTAGGTCTCAATAAAGGTAGTGGAGAGATGCAGAATTTCAGAAACTCCTGGTGTTTAGAATATAACCCTTTCCCTCCATTAATCAAAAACAAACTAGGGTTTTAAAGCATAAATTTTGATACTGTTTCTCTCTATGTAAACAAGAACTAGAACTAGATTTTGAAGAGCATGTAGGTTTAAAAATAGAAAAAAATGAACAAAGATATGAAAAGTAGGACATTTCCATGAGATCTGAACCTACAGAAAAGGGTGTTCTGTTTACACAGTAAACCTTTTTCCCATCCTGACATAACTTGTGTAATTAAAAAAGAATTTTGCTCTATTAAATGAATTAAAATTCTACCACATGGAGTCATATACTAAGGAATTATTGTTAGTTTTGTTAGGTAGGCTAATAGCATGAGGATTGTTAAAAAAATGGTCCTAATCAGAGATGCATATTGAAATATTTATGGGAAAAAGGACATGATGTTGGAATTGGCTTTAAAATACTATAGGAAAACGAATTTGGAAGAATAGCTGAACCACAGTTAAAAAATTTTTGGTAATTATTACCATCAGGTAATTATTACTGGAGTTCAGCATATTAATCACTTTTGTATACATCTAAAATTTTCCAAAATAAAACATGAAAAACACAAAAATATGTGAAGAAAAGAAAAAAGGGACTAGTCTAAAAGTGATGAGCCTCCATGGGGTGGGCTATCAAAGGCAATACGGAAGCCCTGGGCATCTGAGCACAGAGTACCAAAATGTAAGCAAAGGAATCTAAAAAGAACACTCAAAAATGCCCTCGAAAAAAGAGTAAAATTAAGAAACATTTGTTTAAAAGTCATTTTGAATTTCAGGTTAGTTCAATATATCAACAAATTTTCTTCTAAGAGTATTGAGAAGAGTATTCTAAGAAATGGCGAAATCCCGCCTGGAACTGGCTGTGCACACACGAAAGACAAGGGAGAGATGTCCTTCTCTTTCCTGCTTCCCGTCTTGCCTGCTCCTGGCTCTAAGACACGACACTGTCATACGATTACATCACTAGTAGGAAATGTTAATGTGGGCTGTGCGAGCACCATAACCATCACTGATTTGAGTAAGTATTTACCAAACTCCAAATAAATAGTTTAAAAACACTCTTAGGCTGGGCACAGTGGCTCACACCTGTAATTCCAGCACTTTGGGAGGCCAAGATGGGTGGATCACCTGGGGTCAAGAGTTCAAGACCAGCCTGGCCAACAGGGAAAAACCCCATCTCTATGAAAAAATGCAAAATTAGCTGGGCATGGTGGTACATGCCTTCAGTCCCTGCTACCTGGGAGGCTGAGGCAGGAGAATTACCTGAACCCAAAAGGTGGAGATTGCAGTGAGCTGAGTTGGCACCATTGTACTCCAGCCTGGGCAACATTAGTGAAACTCCATCTCAAAAAAAAAAAAAAGAAAAATGGAGACTGTCTCTCTAGATTCTTCCTCTCTGGGCAAGGCATCTCTGACAGAAAGGCAGCAGCCCCAGTCAGGGGCTTATAGACAAAACTCCCATCTCCCTGGGTCAGAGCACTGGGGGAAGAGGCAGATGTGGGCGCAGCTTCAGCAGACTTAACCATTCTTGCCTGCCGGCTCTGAAGAGAGCAGCGGATCTCCCAGCACAGCGCTTGAGCTCTGCTAGGGGACTGCCTACCTCACAGCAATAAAATGATCAAAATATTGATACGTGCTACAACATGAATGAATTTTGAAAACATCATGCTAACTGAAAGAAACCCACCACAAAGAATCACCTATTAGATAATTCTATTTATATAGAATGTTAAAAATAGGTAAACCTACAGAGATGAAAATAACACCAAAAGCAGTTGCTTAGAGCTGGAGAGAAGGGGAAAACATGGGGAATGAATGTAATGGGTATGGGTTTCTTTTGGGATAATGAAAACATTCTGGAATTAGTGGTGATGGTTGCACAAGTCTGCAAATATTCTAAAAATCACTGAACTGTACATTTTAAGTGGGTCAACTGTATAGCACGTGAATTATATCTCAGTATAGCTGTTTTTAAAAAGTCAAAGACGGAGAAAGCAAAAATAGCAAAATGTTAATAATAGGTGAATCCAGATGAAGGGTAGATGGTGCTCATTTTACCATTCTTTCCATATTCTGTAGGTCTGAGATTTTTCAAAATTGAGCTGGGCAAAAATAATGCTAAGAAAATGTGGTTTGGGAAAACCAGTTCTGACCTCAGGTAACAAAGCCTTAATTTTTCAAAAGTGAGTGAATTTTGTGATTCAAGGATTAGGAAACAGAATCACTAGACAACTCCTCAGTGAGTCAGAAAACCTACAGTTAAGGGACACTTACCTGGTTGGGAAGTATCAGTCCATCCCCTCTTGGCCCGTACACAATAATCCCATCTTGTATTGGGGTCCTTGACAAATCTGCCAATATCTTTGAAGAGTTCACAAAATGACATTTGGCTGGCTTGATAAACAGTGTAGTAGAGGAGGGCAGCCCTCCATAAAAAGGGGTCTTTTCTAAACAGAACACTGTGAATGCTTGCTAGTCCTTCCTCGGTGGGATTATTTGGCTTTAGCTCATGTTTTTTACGTCCAGTCCAACTGTTCCATGGCTGCTGGAGGTTGTTAATACCTCGAAAATAATGCGTGCCTATGGAGAAGAAAAGTTACATGAAGAAGAAATGCCATTTTTGTTCTAATTCTTCCCCAAAAGAGATTTCATCCACAGTTCTAAAACCAGCTGGGCACAGCGACTCACGCCTGTAATCCCAACACGTTGGAAGGCTGAGGAGGGCAGATCACTTGAGTTTAGGAGTTTGGGACCAGCCTGGGCAACATGGTGAAACCCCATATTTACCAGAAATACAAAAAATTAGTCAGGTGTGGTGGCATGCACCTGGGACCCTAGCTACTCAGAAGGCTGGGGTGAGAAGAATCACTTAAGCCAGGGAGGCAGAGGTTCCAGTGAGCTGAGATTGTGCCACTGTGCTCAAGACTGGGCGACAGAGCAAGATCCCATCTCAAAAAAAAAAAATTCTAACACCAAATTAATGTGGGCATACAAATGAAAAAAGTAGAAAATAACCTGACCCTAACATCTCCTGGGTATGAAGAAGTGTACACTGCCTTCAAAAGGATCACATATCTCAAGAGAGGAGGTGTAACCTTTCTAAGAATTTACTTTTTTAAAGAGAAGAATCTCAGACTTGATATTTGAAAAGAACCTTAAAGATACCTTAATTCAACGCCCTCAGTTTAATTTTAGGGCAAATCAGAGCAATTAAATGACTTTCCAGATTCAATACACCTAAACACTTCCTTTTAAAAATCTAATTTGAAATGAGTCCAAGTGAAGCTCATGACTTTTTGCTAAATTTTCTTCTACTAAAAAAATAAATACTACTAAGAAAAAAACCCATTCTAAAAGAACATTTCTTTAGAGTTAATTCCTGATATTACAAGTAAACAAATGCAAAGGGTGGCCCCTACCTATCTCATGCCTCAGCATTCCCTCCAGCCAGTGTTCACGTGCAGTGGACACATTGATGGTCAGAGTCGGACATCCGTTTACTACCGTCATTGATGCCCGGGAGAGCAGGTCCTCAGTGAGATGAACTACAATCTAAGGGCAAGGAAAGAAAGTACACAGACATAAACCAAAACATAAAGGTAGGGGAGAAGCTTTCAAAGAAAAAATGGGCCTGCAAATTAACAACGTTGTTTTGTTTATGACCACCGTAAATCTCCCAGAATCCAAGATGGAATGTACAGCCAAATCATCCAGCTACTAGGAAGCCTGAGGCAAGAGAACGGCTTGAACCTGGGAGACAGAGGTTGCAGGGAGCCGGGGTTGCACCACTGCACTGCAGCCTGGGTGACAGAGCGAGACTCCGTCTCAAAAAATAAAATAAATACAATACAGTATAACACAATACAATACAATGCCCACAGCTGACTGTCACTGACAGCAACCCCTTGTGTTCTAGAGGGGAACTCCATCTACTCGGGAGGCTGAGGCAAGATAATTGAGCCTTGGAGGTGGAGGTTGCAGTGAGCCAAGATTGCACCAAGGCACTCCAGCCTGGGTGACAGAGCGAGACTCCAACTCGAAAAATAAAATAAACACAATGCAGTACAATATAATACAATGCAATACAATAACTACGACTGACTGTTACTGACAGTAACTCCTCGTGTTCGCTCACGATCCATACCTCCCCTAGGCAGCCTTCCTTCATCATGTACCTCCTAACGTGACTCCAGATGCGAGTTTTAGAGAGCAAGCTTCCACCAGTGGCTTGTTCAAACTTTTCATAACTTCCATATTTCTGTAAAGTCAGTTCCATAATATTGATAGACTGTAAAAGAAAGAGGGACAGTGAGAGTAAAGAGCGTCGCATCACTTTGAGATGCCGCATGTTAGCTGTTATTCATTGTAACCGATTCTAGGGTTACTGATTTCCAGATTAAACTGCAACTGAAGTGCCAAACTTTTCTAATCCTAAACAACTTCCGCTCACTTTTGCAAATGTGTACAAATGCCTGTACATGTTAGCAATACGAACTCTTCCCTGTGTTTGTTTCTCCTTAACATGCTGACAGGCGGCTCAAGGACTGCGTATCTCAAACGCTAACATCGGACAGGCCGAGAAGTTGGAGAGAGGGGCTCCTGGCTTCTCTAAGATCATTTGGTGGTTTGGCAGAACTTGGAGTGAAAGGTATGTCTCCACACAACTCAATAGATTACCACTACCTTATGAATGAAGAAAAATATTTTTCAAAATTTTAAGAACATACATAAGAATCAATCAATATGATCCCAAAACTATTAAAATAAAAATTAAAAAAATTTTTTTAAAGAATCGGCCAGGCGCAGTGGCTCATGCCTGTGATCCCAGCACTTTGGGAGGCTGAGGTGGGTGGATCACTTGAGGCCAGGAGTTTGAGAACAGCCTGGTCCACACGATGAAACCCCATCTCTACTAAAAATAAAAAATAAATAAAATTTAAAAAGCCAGGCATGGTGGGGTATGCTTGTAGCCCCAGCTGCTTGGGAGGCTGAGGCAGAAGAATCCTTGAACCCAGAAGGCAGAGGTTTCAGTGAGCCAAGATCACACCATTGCACTCCAGGCTGGGCAACAAGAGTGAAACTCGGTCTCAAAAAAAAAAAAAGAAGAATCAATCAGTCTTCTGCAACAATCCATCTATTTTATTTTCCTGGGCTACTCTCTGGCAGAAAACAAATTTTCAACATTAATAAGAATACTTTTATCTTTCATTCAGGGCAGGATACTATATACTTTTCATTCTTCATAAATTTTTGCAGCAAAGGAATAAGAAAGTTGAGATACTTTTTCACATATGCACAAATTAACACACATATGCAACATGGAAGACTTAAAAAAAAAAAACTGGTAAGGAATCACAAATTATCCGTATCTATGGGAATGCCATAGAAAGGAAAACCTAAGGAAAAAGAAAATTGCTTTTCAAAGGTCTTTTGGGAAAGAAAAGCTAGAAAGTTCAACTCTATCTTACATGAATTAACAACCTAGAGAGTTCATATACATGTCACATAAAGTCTGTAGTTTCTGAACTGTCAGACTAGTAAAGAGATTACGGTACAAGCTCTGGAGTTGATGCCATGGCTCTGTCGCCTAGCTGTGCTATCATGAGCAAGTCACTAAACTTGTTTCTTCTTATTACTGTTATTATAGACAAGTGCAGTGCAGCAGTGAGAAGGGGGAAGAGAGTGAGCAAGGAGTTCAATCTGTACTGATGTGAACGATCAACCGTAGTAACTCACTACCTTCTTACCAGCCTCGGCCTCCTCATTTGTAAATGAGGATAACAATAATAGCCGGGCGCGGTGGCTCACGCCTGTAATCCCAGCACTTTGGGAGGCCGAGGCGGGTGGATCGTGAGGTCAAGAGATCGAGACCATCCTGGTCACCATGGTGAAACCCCGTCTCTACTACAAATACAAAAAATTAGCTGGGCATGGTGGCGCGTGCCTGTAATCCCAGCTACTCGGGAGGCTGAGGCAGGAGAATTGCCTGAACCCAGGAGGCGGAGGTTGTGGTGAGCTGAGATCCCGCCATTGCACTCCAGCCTGGGTGACAAGAGCGAAACTTCGTCTCAAAAAACAACAACAACAACAAAAAACAATAATAAGATCTACTTCATGGTTTTATGGAGAACATTTAGTCAACCTTTGTAAAGCACGGTGTCTGGGGCATAATAAGTAGTCAGTACGTATTAACTAGTGTATCATCACTGGTACGTTCTCACTGAGGACTAAACTCTGACCTTTGTTGTCCTCTTGCCCAGATTCCCACCTACAGGGCCTGGGGAGTCCTGCTCTTTAAACCATGAAATCTCATGGGATGGGTCTTATTTAACCATGCATAGTGTGGCTTACTCTCCAACCTGACTCTCGCATAACACCACGTGACTGATAAAGAAGGAAATAAAAATATTTTACCTCAGAACGTTTCTTTGCCAGAGTTTGAAATGGCCCTGCAGAGCTGTCTTTTGTGGGGTACATTCTGCACCTGTAAAGAGTCTCTACAGCATCAGTAGATCTTTCTCTTTCTGGGCCCCCCAGTCCTGAAGAGATTAACTGAGAGTCTAGCTTCTTTCTAATGTATTTATTTTTTTTATTTTTGTTTGTTTGTTTGGACACAGTGTCTTGCTCTGTCGCTGAGGCCGGAGCACAGTGGTGCAATCATGGCTCACTGCAGCCTCAACCTCCTGGCCTCAAGTAATCCTCCCATCTCAGACTCCTGAGTAGCTGGGACAACAGACATACACCACCATGCTGGCTAATTTTTAAATATTTTTGTAGAGACCGAGTCCTGCTGTGTTACCCAGGCTAGTCAATTCCTGGCCTCAAATGATCCTCCCACCTCCACCTCACAAAGTGCCGAGATTACAGGTAAGAGTCACCATGTGACTCTAGCACCTTTTATTTTTATTTTTAATAAAAAAAAAATAGAGACAAGGTCTCACTATGTTGGCCAAGCTGGTCTTGAACTCAAGGTCAAGTGATCCTCCCATCTCGGCCTCCAGAATGCTAGGATTATACCTTTTAAAGGTTTAAATAAGAAACATTTGCCATCTATTATCTCTAAAGGTGGCCACCTATGAGACTTCATCTACATAATAAGAACCTTGGTCTCTAGACTCTCTTAACTTAAACCAAACACTCCTTTGTATTGATTCCAGGTTTTCAGATAATTCTTTTTTTTTTTTTGAGACAGAATTTCGCTCTTGTTACCCAGGCTGGAGTGCAATGGCGCGATCTCGGCTCACCGCAACCTCCGCCTCCTGGGTTCAGGCAATTCTCCTGCCTCAGCCTCCTGAGTAGCTGGGATTACAGGCACGCGCCACCATGCCCAGCTAATTTTTTGTATTTTTAGTAGAGATGGGGTTTCACCATGTTGACCAGGATGGTCTTGATCTCTTGACCTCGTGATCCACCCGCCTCGGCCTCCCAAAGTGCTGGGATTACAGACTTGAGCCACCGTACCCAGCCTCAGATAATTCTTTCAATCAACTGCCAATCAGAGACTCTTTGAATCCACCTATAACCTGTAAGGCCCCTCTCTTTGAGTTGTCCTATCTTTCTAGACCAAACCAACGCATTCCTCACATGTATTGATTGAGACATAAGATGTTTCCCTAAAATGTATAAAACCAAGCTGTAACCCAACCACCTTGGACACATGTTCTCAGGACCTCTGAGACTATGCCTCAGGCCACGGTCCTTCATATTCGTCTTAGAATAAACCTTTTTGTAAAGTATTTTTACAGTTTATCAGCACCATTCTCTACAAATACCACCACTGTAGATCATTGCCTGACACAAAAGTTATTTTAAAAATTACATACTTCAAGTCATAATTCAACATACATATCACTAATTAAAATACATGCATTACTAATAAACTAGGCATGTATATTAAGACATCATAAGAAACGGCTTCAATAGCTTCTGGTCCCAAAACTGTTACTGAACGCCTTGCTGTTCAAAGTGTTGTCTGAAGGCCAGCGGCACTGGCATGGCATGGGATCTGGTGCCACATGCAGAGCCACCTTCATGACTTTTGATTCAGAATCTGCATTTCAAGAGGATCCCCGGGTAGTTCAAGCGCATGCAAAATGTGAGAGGGATTTCAGAGAATGGCATATACAACAAGTACTCCCGAAGCTGATTAATTCATATGACAACTAGGATAATTAAAAGCACAGATTAGCATATAATTAAAAACTCATTTTAGCAGATTAGCAAAGATACTTTGCATGTACCAACCTAATGGTCACCAGCTATCCATATATCAAAGAGTGAGAAGAATGTGAAAAATGTGGCCTGAAGAACTGCAGAAGTGGTACCTTATATTAATATATTGAACTGTTAAGACTTTTTTTTTTGAGACAGAGTCACGCTCTGCCGCCCAGGCTGCAGCAAAGTGGTGCAGTCTTGGCCCACCTCAGCCTCTGCCTCCTGGGTTCAAGTGATTCTCCTGCCTCAGCCTCCCGAGTAGCTGGGATTACAGGCATGCGCTGCCATGCCCAGCTATGAACTGTTAAGATTTTAAAATGGTTAAAAATTATTTATTTCTAAAAAACTATTATAATTTCAACTTATAGTTCTTTTTCTTTTTCTTGTTTGTTTTGTTTTGAGACAGTGTCTTGCTCTGTTGCCCAGGCTGGAGTGCAATGGCATGATCTCGGCTCACTGCAGCCTCCGCCTCCCAGGTTCAAGCGATTCTCCTGCCTCAGCCTCCCAAGTAGCTGGGATTACAGGCACATCCCACCATGCCTGGCTAATTTTTGTATTTTTTAGTAGGGACAGAGTTTCACCATGTTGGCCAGGCTAGTCTCAAACTCCTGACATCTGGTGATCCGCCCACCTCAGCCTGCCAAAGTGCTGGGATTACAGGCATGAGCCACCACGCCCAGCCTGCTTATAGGTCTTTTAAAGCATGTACTTAATTTTGGATAAAATTATAATAGCCTTTCTAAGGCATATGCTTACTTGGTAGGAAAATGTGGTTACTGGTTATTTTTGTAGCAGATATAAAAGTCTAGAGAATGATGCCAAACTTAAGTGCAGGTATTCCCTGTTATCCAGATCACAGAATGACCAAATCAAGGATGAATAAAAGCCGTGGGTTTGTGCGTGTTTGCTGAGAGGGAAGGCAATTCTTCTATCACAATGATACATAAAAGCACATCACGTCCTTTGTTTCATCCTGACTCACATGGCACCATCATGGTGTTAACACTCAATGGGAGCTACGTCAATGTTCCTAAAAGGCAATCTTAATATTCAGCCTTAAATATTACATTATCT